TCGCTGGAGAAATGAAAGTATCTAGCTGAGAATTAATGGAGTCACCAGAGGGTGTCTAGGAGGGGCTACATGAGCAACTCCCTGGACAAAAGCCTTGATCAGGGAATGAGAGGCCAAAGGCCATTGAAGCAAAGCAATAGCTAGACATTCTCTCACCTAGTCAACTGGTTCAGGCCTTAGACATTCTCTCACCTAGTCAACTGGTACCAAAATGGTGTCACATAGTTTTTGGTGCAGGGACAAGCTTTACACATATAAACAGACTCCTGGCAGCTAGCAGCTTACAGGGGTCCACTGCTGCCAACACATGGCCTACTTCGGTGCAGGGAAAGGGTTAAGGTTCAGGCCTTAGACATTCTCTCACCTAGTCAACTGGTACCAAAATGGTGTCACATAGTTTTTGGTGCAGGGACCAGTAAATGAATCCTGAGAGGAAATGCCCGAGTCTGAGGAGGTATGCACCTCTACTACCTAACACTCCTCCTCCTCAATATCTAGCAATAAGGTAGCCATGGTCATGTCCGGAACAGATTTGGAAGGGGAAGGAGAACTAAACTTGCGCCCTCCGCAGTCTGATGCCTCAAGCATAGCACATATTTGTCCCATAAAAGCATTCATTGTGTCCGCAAAATCTTCCTTACTAAAGGCAGAAAGAGTTGAATGCCCCTGATGGGGAGAGAGATGCATTAAGAGAGAGCAGCAAGCTAAATGGACGGTTAACACACATACCATCTGTAACAGAGTCCCAGGGAAAACCTTAGGCAACCCCCCTTAGCATTAGTATTGCTGGCTATCCAGTGTCCCCCTGTCCTTTTGCGTCTAAAGTGTGCTGTGGTGTGGAGACCCAGCAGTTACTAACAATACCGACACCAAAGAGTTTAAAGAGGGTCCCCCACAGCTGGGATTACTGCTGTGGTTGGTGTCAGATGCCAACAAGGTTAGTGTTACCTTCATGTGGCAAAGATGTCCGCCACTGCTCCGGATTCCCCTGCTGCTGTATGGCGTACCAAGATGGCTGCCGTACCAGCCTACATGCATTATCAGGGCAGCCTGATGTATCAAGATGGTCACCAGTGGCATACTCTGATGGCAGGACCCCCCCAGTCTGTATCGTATCTGTCTGCGGCAGATCCTGCACGCTACAACTGCCAGGATGTGCGGGCAGGAAAAGCAACATTTTATAAAATTGAGCCAGGAGTTGGGTGTGGTGGGCTAGTAGCAAACTAAAAGGTGTTTCCCACAAGTTTTTTGTATGGAAAAAAAAACCAAAATTTTTTTTTAAAGGGCCAGGACCCATGTAGACCAGGGGTAATATAGCGGCCAAGACTCACCCACCAGCAATGTCAGACATCCAACAAGGGGAGGGGGGAATTTCCACCAACCCTCGCCTTCACTCACTTGTGATGAGCATACCCCCTCTTGAGGGGTCTACAGGGACAGAGTACACCAGTGCACATATGTCACTGCCCAGAACCTGTATAGCACACTGTGGCTAACCCAATGCACCATGTGCCAAGGTGAGTGCATAATGCAGCATCCAGTGTTCAAAGCGGCATTACTGGACGGTCCCAAATCTTCAGTCCTGTGGGGTCCAGGTACAATCCATGAAGCTGCTGTTGTGGGGTACCGATCCGGAAGCTGTGAGGTTGAATCTGCCTGTGATCAAGACACTACATTGTCCATAGTTGACACTTTAAAAGTCTTTACAGGTCATCAATTTAGAGTTAACTGTGAATAATGGCCCTAGAATTATTGCTCACACCCCAGCGCAGCCATTGTTTTCGTTCGCAGGCACACACAAAGCATTTGTGTTAGTATGTGCATGTATGCAGGGGCGTGGGACTTTAAAATTTTTTTTTTAGTGTTCTTTGATTTCAAAACTTTCTTTTTAACTTAACTTTATTGCGATCACATAGGGGGCTCCCAAGATCGTGAACAGTCAAGCTTTACACATATAAACAGACTCCTGGCAGCTAGCAGCTTACAGGGGTCCACTGCTGCCAACACATGGCCTACTTCGGTGCAGAGAAAGGGTTAAGGTTCAGACCTCCTCTGGTGCTCATCAAATCCAAACTGCTGTGAGGGTCGGACGGCTGCAGGTGATCAAGGATGAGATTTCCACATGGCTCTTTGCAGCAGTAAACCCAAAAATGTAAAAAAAATGCACTTAAGTGAATTTTAGTGGCCAAAAACACAATGTAACGCGCATTTCTTTTTGTAAAATATAAAAGGATGGTGGTTACGACGAGTGTATAGATAACAAACATGCCCAGGAAAAAAAACTGAATCCATCCACAAAACTGCAACAAAATACGGTACCCCAAATTTCCATAGATGACATTTTAAAAGCCCATACGTTTAGAGATTTCTGTGAATATTGGCCTTAGCATTATTGCTCTCACTCTGGCACATGCGGTGATACCCAACATGATCGTCGTTTTTGGACGTAGGCGCACCCGCCGCATTTACGTTAATATGTTACAAACAGCTAATAATGGAGAGATCTGAAACAGTCACATTTAAATTAGGAGTAAAAGGAAAAGACTGCAACTCCTCCAGGATAAGTGACAGTCTTCACTTCTAGCACAGCCAGTCATGACACTCATGTCTTGTTTGCCTACTGAATGCAAGGGTGGCTTGGAAATGTAGCCTGGGAATAAGGGTGTAATTACTCCCTCAATGTAACCATGCCTTTATGCTGAATCCATTGAGGGGTGTTAGAAAGGGCCATTTTGGGAGGATGTTTTGAACTAGAAGTGAAAATGAGTCCACATTTGACAAAGGCAAATCCCCATTCAGAAATGTCAAAAATCATTTGCTGGAAGATGTTGTTAGAGAGGGAGGACAGTACACTTATCTTTTAACCCATTCACTGTCAGACGGCTTTAAATTTTTTTCACAAGCTAAAATGCACATTTTATGCCTAAAGACTTAAAAAAAAAAAAAATAACACAACCCCCCCCCCCCCCCC